ATTGTGTGATTCTCATATTAAAACTCAAAAAATTGATTATTACATTTTATAGCAAAGTCAATTGCTTGAATCAAGATTTGAAGATCAGATAAATTGAGCATCAATTTCTTTACTTCACATTCTAATTTGTAGAAAAATTGGTTGATGACTGCTACATCATTCCATTTGATATCTGTCACTAATTATTGAAATTGTGAAGCATATAATGCCACTGATCGATTGTCTTGTTTCAAAATATGAATCTTATTGGTTGCAATACGGATTGCATCATGTTTTCTATACATAAATCAAAATTCTACTAAGAATCCTTCCAAATTATCCAATAGTGGATCATGTCATTTAAGAAATGATAAAAAACCATCATAAAGTTGAATCTGAAAGTAGTGTTCTAATAAACCTTACTTGTGATCCTTGAGTTGGATAAATTTAAAGTTGTAGTTCAATCACTAGTTGTACCTGATTGATGAATCTTTGAAACTTAGATCTTGTGCCATCAAACTTTTCAAGCAATCCAATTTTTGGTTCTTTGAAACTTGAATAATGTTCAATTGTAGGAGCAATAGTATAGCTTGGTATAGATGTTGAAGCAAATCCAATCATCTCTATATCTTCATTGCTTGATAATCTTATTGCTCCTTATGGTGGTAGACTGAAGTGATGCTTTGCAAGCATAAACTCTTTCATTTGCTCCTCCATTTGAGCCATTGCAGTCTTCATTTTAGCAAACTTTGCCATGCTAGCACAATAAAAAGAAAGGTGTCTATTGTCAGAAAATACAATACTCAAGAATAATAATAATAAAAAAATCCAAAAACAATATCAGTTTAGAAGAAGATAATCTGTAAATTCTAATATGCTTATGTCTTATCAAGAAAAAGGAGTTATTCATTCTTAATCAAGAAAGAACAAAGCTCTGATATTGTATGTGTACTCTTATCAATCTATCAGGGACACAAATTGAAAGGAGATACATAAACTGGTGGAATCTGTGTCAAAAGGAAAGTGACAAAATAAAAGAAAGTATGTAAATTCAAGGAAGAACTAGAATGACTATTGCCAAAGATTAAAAAACATAAGACTCTTCAAACTAAACTAAAAGCAAGAAAGGACTTGACAAGAGTGAAGAAGGCATCACTCTTGCCTCTATGTATACTACTTAATTAAGAACTATGTAGTGACATACTATAAGATCTTTTATACGCGTCCAACTTGTACGACATGTGTCTAATTTGTAAGACAAGTTTCTTAGGTGTGGGCCGTATGTCCAACTTGTACTACAAGTGGTTAATATGTTGACACGTGGCTTCTTTCTTGGCCAAGCTTTCAACCTACCAAACACCTATAGACATGTATAAACATGCAAAACAATCACCTATAGACATGCAAAACAACATCTATAAAGCTTCTAAGAAGCTTTCAACAAGATATTATCATATTTATCTATTTTGACTTATTTCTACCTATTCTTATTATCTAGATAATTATCATAGTAAATATGTATGTCCAAGACAACTACATACAATAAATATGAATTTATAAATTTATTTATATTTATAAAATATAATTAAAGTATATATATATCATAAATTTATTTTATTTTTTTAATTATAAATATATATATATAGTTTATTTGTGCTAATTCATGTCTCTAATGCTATTTAGAACTTTAGATGTATATTTGAGTCTCCAACATTTAGAGATTTTTTAAGTTTACTTGATCAAAACTAAAAATATGCACGTTATTTTTTATTTATATATTTATATGAAAAAATATTGAAATAACATATCCATTTACTAAATTGACCTACCCTATTGTAGAGAATAAAGAGAAATGAGGGAGGTTGGGATAAAAGCTGAAAATAAGGAGAAAAGAATAAGGAGAAATTGGGATAAAGAAGAATAGAAACAATAGAAGCATGTTAAGAACATGAATCTTGAATAAAGAAATAGATAATACATTCTTATGTTACTTAAAAAGATAGGAAATCACTCAAAGATGATAATATATTGAAGTAGAATGACTATTGCCAAAGACAAGAAGACTAGAAAGTCCTGAAATAAGACTAAGTATTAGATAGGAGTTGATAAGAGTGAAGAAGACTTCACTCTTGCCTCCATATATACTCTTTAACTAAGAGCTATGTGGCAATATGCTATAGGACCTCTAACACGTATTGACTTTGCTAGACACATGTCTTAACTTACAAGCCAAGTTATTTATATGTGGGCCAAATAGTTAGCTTATTCCATAAACTACTAACACATGTAATGTGTGGCTAACTTGTTAATTATTTTTTTAGACTACAAATTAATTACAAACATGTGTAAAGTTAAAGTAGCATCTATGAAGCTTCTAAAAAGCTTTTTTTAGAAGATATTATGAAATTAATCTATTTTTACTTACTTCTACTTCATCATATAGGTAATTATTGGAATAAATCCGTATGTTTGTGACAAAGGATAGACTAAGAACAAAAACACTTGGATGAGGGCCATAATTATAAATATGATTTATGGAGATGATTTATTTTTTTAATGATAATTATGATAGAGTGGGTTGATTTAATAAATTTTTATATTCATAAGCATTATTGAAAAATACATGTAATAACAAAAATCAACCAAATTATCATTTTTTAAATTAACAGAAAGCAAACATAATACTAAAGTTGTAAAGAACTAAAAAATAATTCAAATATATATATATATATATATATATATATCAAAATTAAAAGCATGATCTATAAATAAAAGAAATAAAATTGAACTTAAAGAATTTTTTTAAGATAATAAATAATACAATGATATGCCATTTTTTTTAAAATAATATATTTTTATAAGAACATATCATTATCAAATAATAAATATTTTTAATAAAAATAGTATTATAATATTTTTTTAATATATTTTTAATTTGACACTCTTCATTTTAAAGATGGAAACTTGTATAGTAATTTGATTTTAGATCATTCTTTTTTTAATTATTTATTTCATCAAGTTCAATAAATTGTTAATAAAATAAATTTGAAGTATATATATATATATATATATATATATATATATAAAGAAATCAATAAAAAAGGAAAATGTTATATTTTTAACTTTAAAAATTCATTTCAGGAGAAATATTTATTTATTATAAATTAAGACAATGACAGAACACTCTTTTTAAATCTTTTAAATTCAATTTTTCACAATTTGATATTTTTATGCATTCTTCAATATTATGAATTTGTAGATTCTAAAACTTTGGTTAAAAAATACAAAAAATAGTCAACACAGAAATAAATAAATAAGAAATGTTACAAATCAAAACATCCAATTGATCCTTATATTTTTTACACATGTGGTTGAAAAAAAAATATAAGGATCTCAAATACACACAACATTTTTAAATGTATTGTTCTATTGATATAAAGTTAAAAATTGAATATATATATATATATATATATATATATCCACACACACTTAAACATCTAATTTTTATAATTTTTAGATCATTTATGTCTTCTAAGAGAAATTTACAATGTTCTTATTGTAATTCCACAAGTGATATTAAATTAAGATTTCAATTAATATTTTAAGTATAAAATTTCACTTTATACATCATGAACTACTCAAAAAATATACAACACCATAGATGCATATATGTATGTGTGCTTTTTAATTGTAACATAAAGCAAGTGGATTATGAAGTTTATTGTACCATTCCCACCTAATCCCACTTATTCAAAGTAAATGTCATTTGTATATGAAATTGATTGTAAATCACAGATATAATACAATGCTCACTTCTATATTTGGTTGAACCATTGTCCTGATTTACGTAATTACATCTATATTTATGATATTGTGTGTATTTCACACATTATTTCACAAGATTCAGGAAAATGGTGACCAAGTGCTTTTTAGACCATGGAAACTCCTCACTTTTTATCTATAAATAATAAGAGAAAAAGTAGAATTGCATTATTAAAAAAAAGCGGAATTAAACTGCTCTAAACGAATGAGAAGGGCACCAATCACGGCCAGCGTGGACATCCACGTGGACCACTCCCTTGTGCCACCTCAGCCATCCAACCCCAGCCCTTTCGAAGCCCCGTCGTGCTTTCGTCTCGATTGGCGCCCACCCCCCAAAATATCTTCGTGCACTTTTTTCTGCACTTTTGGACAGAATCCTGCCTTACAAGTGTAATTTTTCGTCAATTTTCATCCAGAAGTGCAACGATATTCTCCATCGCGAGGTTTGGGATAATGCAGGGCTGGGTCCAAAAACAAACACTGGCCACCACTTTTCGACCCTCTGAGAAAGTTCATTAATCCATTCATCATATTTTTCATTCTTCCACACCTTCATCCACTATTGATTCTTCCCTTTGTGTGTGACAGTCCCCTACAACAGTGGCTTTCTTCTTTTTTCTTATAAAGCTGCTGATAACATAGGATCTGACATATATTAGATTTCATGGAGGAAATGGGGTCATGTAAGGGGTTCCTTGCTATGGGGCCAGACACACACACACACACACACACACACACACAGTCAGTATGTCACCGTATGTTTTGAACATTTTACAGTTGTATCACCTTACTTTAAAAGGTGGAAAGAGAGGGTGTTGGAGTGGGGGAGAAAGGAAGACCACAACTCGAATGAACACAAAAGAGTGTGGTCCACAATTTCAATAAAACATAAAAATAAAGAAAAAGAGAGTGTTGTCCATTGTGCCAAGAGTTTGGTCATTCACATGCTCGTTCATAGTTTTGGAATGCGATTCACATGTGGGGATATTGAGAGAATGGAATGTGATTGGATCCACACTCAAAAAGGGAGCATATTATTGGGGAGATATTCATGAAAATATCTTTTTTCAAGGGGGTCATTAAGTTTCCTTCACCCGTGGGGGGAAGAAAAGGACCGGGGGCGTGCTGACAGGGTCACCTGTAACCGCGGAATAGCGGCGATAGGGGCACAGTGATCCTGAGCAGGGGCGGCACTTTGCTCAGTCTCGGGATCCTTTTCTCCGCGCACTGGTTGGAGTTCTGCCGCAGAGGCTCCGTTTATTCGTGTGTTTTGTGTTTTGTGTGGGTGTGTGTGTTCGTGCGCGTGTGAGGAGGCGCTGAGTAGAGATTGCGGTGCTGAGCCTTGATACTAGACCGTGGGAGAAAGTTTCATGCGGCGGAAGAATGGACAAGATGATCAGCTCGTCGAAGACTTAGCCTGGTGCAGCGGCTCGTCTTAGACGGCCTACCTGCATCCGTTGCAGGTTTGGCATTGCAGAGCGTGACTCGGATTGCTGCTGGAACGCTTGTGCTTGTATTCCAGAGGTGCGTCGTCGTGAATTTGAGCATTTTCTTTGTCGTGATTTGGTTGACGTTAGGAATCAAAACCAGTTGTGCCTCGCCATATTGTACTCGATTACTTAATAATGGAACAAGTCCTTGGAGGTGGATTGTGACCGGATATATGGTGGTTTGACTTTACTTCTGATCATTTTGGACTGATTCGGTAAAGTTGCAAGTGCTTGAGTGATTGTGAGGAACGTCCGAATGGTGTCTGTGGTAGACGTCCTCAGTTAGCGGTGTGAGTTGTAATGGACGACTAGTATTCCGGTGCGAATGTGCCTCTATTGTCGTCTCAGCTCGTCTAGATCCTCCTAGATAAGTAGTATAGATTGGAAGGAATAGTCAGACAATCAGAGACGCATGTTCCTGCATTCGTAAATTCGAACTCGTGCATGATGGGGTCAGAGTTCTTTGTGCAGGCAGCGTACAGTTGTGACAATAGATATAGTTCCTACGCGAAAGTGCAATCGAAGAACCACGGGTATGTCCAGGCACTATATAGACATTGAAAAGTTGAAAGCGATAGCAGAGGATGGTGGATTGAAATAGAGTCCTACAGGGCAATGAGTACCATTATTTGTAACGATAATCTCCTGTTTTACGTGCAGCACTGGCAACCTTCAACATGATGCAACTTTTACCTCTTAACGAGTGTGTGGAAGCTCAAGAGAGAGCTTAGAAGTGCACTCGGTGTCTCTTAACGCATTCTTCGATTTTATCTGCAAGTTCTCTTCAGTAACAATGGTAATTTGTTGCTATTCCTGTTGCAATGGGATTGGTATCATTCTACCATCTTGAATTCCTCAATTGCCGCATGTCTAGCTGTCTTTTCTCTGGGTTACGTAATATCATTAGCCATTCATGTTTTGTAAGTACCTGCCTTTGATTCCGGCTTTGGTGCAATGCAAACGTATGCAGGACACCGTTTCTGCGCGCTCACTTGCGGGCATGTCCAGCAACTTACTATCATCACCAGCTCGGACATGGCATGGGGAGTTTCGATTGGTTTCACAGCAAATTCCCCTGATCTCCTCGTATCACGTTACAGGGTCAAACACCAATAATTCAACTTCCGTACGAACGTCATTTTTCGGTGAGAGGTACGGAGGAGAAGCTTCAACTGCAACATTTATACATGCTACTCTCTGCATCTTCCTGCTCACCGAAAATTTTCTTTGTCTTATTCTTTTTCTTTTTTCACAAAAAAATAATCTGTAGGGAGAAGGAATTGACAGTGGGGGACTTTATGTTGCGCAGGAGCCCAAACACTAGCAAAGTCGCTAAGGGACAGCGGCGAAGCAGGCCTGACCATGCTGTTGTTTCAGTGCTAAAGGTGAGTTTCAATGCTCCTATCATCTCAGAAAGAGATTGAAATCAACCAGTCTCGTTCCTACAAAACCTGATTATAAGATTTTGACTCTTTTTGTACTTGCAGGGTGATCGTATTACAGGAAGCAGAGATGTTCAGGCACCAGACGATGTTGAGTCACTTAAAGCTGCGCTGGCCGCAGCTGAAGCTAGAACCGATGCTGCCAAGCAAGCTGAGAAAAAAGCTTTGGATGCATTGGCAGCCATGAAGAACAAGTCACGGGATATGGCGCAGAACGACCAAAATTCACAGGAAGTATTTGAAGGCATCAGTCTTGCAGTGCAAGTTGAAAAGATCTCTGAGTCTACAATTCAGAAAGCAACTTTGCGCATAACCGAGGACGCGGAGCTGAAAATAGCTGCTGCTGAAACTGCAGCCGCTGAGGTTATTCTGGAGCTTGAGGATCAATTTCGGCGAGCAGCGGAGGACGCTGTCCAAGCCGCCAGTGTGGAGGCACAAGTAACGATTGATGAAGCTAGGGCTGCGGTTAGCGCTGCCAGAGTTCAGGCCGAGAAATCTGAAGCCATATTGAACAAACAGGTGAAGGCGTTGAATGAACTGGCCGAGGCTGAAGCGAAAGTGCTTATGTTGGAAGAGGCCCTTCTTGATGCTGGTCGAAAGTTGCAACTGGCGAATGGGGAAACTGAGCGTATACGCATTGAGCTCGACTCAGCTCAAAGATTCATCAAAACCGCAACCGCTAGGGCTGAAGCTGCGGAAAGGACAGCCGAGGAACTTCAGAGAGCTGCTGCAAAAGAGGCAGAGGAACGTGCGGATAGTGCTCAAAGTGCAATCAATGCAGTGAAGAAGGCCACGCAGGTGAGACTAGATGCGGACAAGATTGCATTTGAAGCGGAGTTGGATGCTCTTCGGAGCGCGAATGATACATCTCATAAGGCTAGCGAAGCCCGCAGACTAGTCGATAAATCAAGGTAATTGGTTTTTCATTTTTAGTATTTACCTCATTGTGAACTTCTATATTAATTTAATTGAGTGGTCACAAATTCTTTCTCGAACTTGGGCAGATTTGAACTACTAGAACGATCATTATTAGCTGTGGAAAGCGCCACGGCTGCTTGGAAGAACCGAGCGCTAATGGCTGAGAAATTATTGAGGCTAGCCAGAATCAATGGAGCCGAAATTGACACAAGTAGTCTGCCAGTTGAGCAAGCTCCTAGTGTAGGTCGTCTTGAAGTTCTTCCCGGTAGCGATGTCCGTATCAAGGACCTTCTCGAAAATGGTCCTAGACGGGAAACTCCAGACTGGATGAAGCGGCGGCTTCAAATAGGCCAACAGGTCTTGCCACCGATGCAACCCATCGCAATAAACGCAGATGTTGATGCTTTGATCCCTCTGCAGCTACCTTCCTCTGAAACCGTCTGGGACGTCTCAAAATCAAAAGTCAAGGAGAATGACAAATATGCTGTACGGGCAGCAGAAAAAGAGGCACTTGACTTACAAAGAAACGCTATGGAGAGAGCTCTCCAGACGAAGTCTATTAAGACTCTAGTGAGATACCCAGAAGACGCAGAGGAGAAATCAGGTCAGCTGCATAACGTTGGCCAAATTTCCCTTCATCACTTTGCTGCCACTCCCATTCACCCCATTTTTCTACAAAGTTTGTGGGTTAAGTTCTGAGTTTCTTTCTTTCTTTTCTTTTTTTTGTGTATGTACAGAATCTGGGACAGGATCTGGCCGCGAGATTGTGGTACGTACTCACCGTATCCGATTCCTGCGAACTTGAACTATATGTGCATAGACCTGACTTCTCTTTTATATCTTATGTACATCTGTGTTAACAACGTGAACATTGATTTTGATGCCAGTTTCAAGGTTTCAACTGGGAGAGCTGGAGACGGCAGTGGTGGCTGGAGATGTCAGCGAAAGCCTCAGATCTTTCCAAATGCGGAATCACAACTATCTGGCTTCCTCCTCCCACTCATTCAGTTGCCCCTCAAGGTATATCTAAGCGTCTTACATATTTCCTACTGCTGAATAGAATGTTGCAAACCGAGTTTGAGACGTAGTGCTTTCCTGTGATGTGGATTGCTCTAGGTGGACTGACCAGGTGGAGCAGGAAATTATACGCATCGAATTGTCGTAATTTGTAGCGAAAGACGAAATGTGCACTGTTGATGTGAAGCATCACCTCTTCTGACGAAATTTCATTTCAATCAATAGCAGATGTTATAACATGTTGAGACGATGGTGGCAGGTTACATGCCAGGTGATCTCTACAATTTGAACTCAGCCTATGGAGGATCGGAGGAGCTGAAACAGTGTATAGACGAGATGCATAAGCATAACATCCTTGTAACTTTCTTGGAACTGATCATTTGCATTCATTTTATTCACAGTCGTGGTGCAACTACATCGTAGGCTTCCACTGATGATCTTTTTCTTCCATTCTTCTACTCGGATGAGGAAGGTTGCACTTGCTTAAATTTATTTAGGTCTCTCACAACAAACTTTCTTGCTGTAGGTTCTTGGAGATGTAGTCCTCAATCACCGTTGCGCTCAAAAACAGAGTCCAAATGGAGTCTGGAATAGGTTCGGAGGCAAGCTTAACTGGGGCCCTGAGGCTATTGTAAGAGATGACCCTAACTTTCAAGGACAGGGCAACCCTAAAAGCGGTAAGTCTAATGAATTGGTTTGAACTCCATAAAATCAAAATTTTCTGCGTGTATTTAAAAATGACGGGTACGGTTTGGTTGATGGACTATGGATCGCAACTGGTAGCCATCATGATCTTAAGTGAAACTGGAGCATGTTTCTGCAACTATCCATGCAGGAGATTTCTTTCATGCTGCTCCGAACATCGATCATTCCCAGGACTTCGTTAGGAGAGATATTATAGAGTGGATGAAATGGCTTCGTAGTGACTTCGGTTTCGATGGATGGCGGCTCGACTTTGTCAGGTCGAGTAATTTCTTTCCAGCTAGTTATTAAATCGATATTCTCATCCATATATATATATATATATATATCCTTTTCTCCCGACTCCGCTCATTGTACGGTTTATGAGTTGTCCTTTTGCTCCGGCTTCTTTTTTACCTGCTTTGGAAGAAAAGAACTTGAATAGGACCCATTTCTGTTCAATTTGGTATACACTACTTGCTGAGGTGAATATATGCTTGAATGTGATTGAAACAGAGGATTTTGGGGTGGATACGTGAAGGAGTACATTGAAGCAACCAAACCAGCATTTGCTATAGGAGAATACTGGGACAGTCTGGCATATGAGGGTGGTCAAGTTAGCTACAATCAAGGTTCAAAACTCTTATTCTTTGTATCTGATTGCCAAAAGAACCGCACGCATTAAGTTTTAGCGCTGAACATTTTAACTACCCCGTTCAATTCTTTTCCAGTATTTGAGCACTTAAAGACAGTTCCGCAAAGACTGCAGTGTCGCTCAACATAAGTTATGACATGGATGCAGATGCTCACAGACAAAGGATAGTGAATTGGATAAATGCTGCTGGTGGTACATCATCAGCATTTGACGTGACAACCAAGGTATGGTAAGAGCTATCAATTTCTATTGTTTCTAAGTTGCAACTTCCTTTTGCCAAGTTTAACCTTATATTTCTCGTCTTCGATTGTTAATTTTAACAGGGCATATTGCACTCAGCTCTTCATGGTGAATTCTGGAGATTAATAGATCCTCAAGGAAAACCACCTGGAGTGATGGGTTGGTGGCCTTCTCGTGCAGTTACTTTCCTTGAGAATCACGATACCGGATCAACTCAGGTCTCTACCTTAACATTCTGTCAGTGATATGCCTCTGGACGAACTGTCTGAAATTGAAATACAATATACATGATGTAGATACTTATGTTGTAAGCTTCAGTGATCTTCATAATTGAGCACTTGCCATGCCGCTAACATTGGCACATGGTGCCGTCTCCAGGGTCATTGGCCATTCCCTCGCGACAAATTGATGATGGGATATGCATACATTTTAACACACCCTGGAACTGTAAGTGCAAGCAATTCTGCAAGATCCTTGAATGGCTTTAGAAGTTTTGAAGCTAGCGAATCTTTACATTTTCATGAGTTCAAATTCCTAGATATGGCATGCTGGTGCATATTTATCTGGATTGAATGTATTGATCGTTTAATGTCACAATTTATTGAGCTTATAATTTTCTGATTGCTTTGCAGCCTGTGATTTTCCATGACCACTTTTATGACTTCGGTCTGCATGATCAAATAGCGGATCTTATCGCCGTGAGAACTCGAACTGGTGTGCATTGTCGGAGTAAAGTAAAAATATTTCAAGCGAATTTTGAAGGATATGCTGCCCAAGTAGGCGACAACCTCGTCATGAAAATCGGTCATCTTGATTGGAATCCGTCGAAACAAAATAATCTTGCAGGTAGCTGGAACCGTTGCACAGACAAGGGAGAATATCAGCTCTGGGAGAGAAAATAAGACGTCTCCCATTTGCCTCATGTATGACACTTGAAACTATACTGTACAATTACTCTTTTCACTAAGAAAACGAGTTTTTATAATGGCGTCATATTATTCTGGATTTGAGAAATGCAGTGCACTATTAAGAGCAAAGTTGCAAATATAATCTTGCTAGAATGCAGGACCTATCCATATCATTTTCTGGCTTGGATGTATTTTGCAAATGGTATAAATATTCTACATGTATAGTTATCAGATGACATAAAGTAAAATAGGACAAAATACTGTACACACGCACTCTTACTACAATTAGATAAAGCAGTCAAGCAGTTTGTTTATTAAATGCAACAATCTTTCATATCCTTCTTACCATTCGCTTTCTTCCTTACGGTACGCAAAATGAATTTCAAATATACCCACCTGGATTACTTTTACAATTCTACACAGTAAACTATTGTGGTTAATTCTACTTCTCTTGGTAACAGCATAGTTGAATGCAATAGCCAATTGGACAGAATTGGTCACACATATTTACAGCCTTGCATCGCTCAGCGTCTACCTATTCTCTCGGCAGCCCCACCGAAAGTTCTACAACAGCTTGAGTTTTCAATGTTAGTGAAGCAGAACACCTCAAATAGTAGCGGTCGGCTGTTTGTTGGTAAGATCCGCTATTTGTGATGGATCAAAGGGAGATGGTGCTCTTGAACTCAAATAAACAGTATCAGGAATGGAAGCTTCCGCGCTCCGCGCTTGGTCGTGCCGGTGATTTGTGCTCGCCTGCACCCAAGGTAGCGACTTTCTCTAATGTCTTGTTACTCACCTCCTCAGCTGCTTTGGCAACCTTGGCATAGGCACCAACTACCCATGATGTTCCTGTCAGAACATATCTGTTCTTCGCAATAGCTGAGCCTGCCGCATTGAGTTTCTGTTCAGTTGCTTGGACAGCAGCTCGAGTCTTCTCCGCAACTTGGTATTTCTCATCGACGACCTTGACCTGCTGATTTATAGCAGCAGTGCCCGCGCTCAGTTTCTTGGTGATACCGATCTTGTCGTCGATTTTCACGACATTGGCCTTCGCGTTTGCTGCTAATTGTGTAGCGTTGGCTGTAAGCTGGTGCTTCTCGTCAAAAGCCTTGGCCTTGGACACTGTGTTGTTTCCAAGAGTGGATCCTTTCGCCAGTATGTTTTTAATGAATTCCTCTGCGCTCTTTTTGGCAGGCTTGGCGGAGGCACTCTGAACACATGCGAAGGTGCATACTGGTCAGCCCAGATTCGTGTCAATGAATTGCCAATACGAATGCAAATTAAGTGTTCCTTCCAAGTCAAATTACCTGCGATTTGACTCGTTCATTGTTGAAACCTGATTTTATCTCTAATGGTGGATTAAAAGCCAGTTCAGTGATCAAAAGTGTAAATAGCCAAACTGACCACAAGATAGGTTAAGCAAATTCTGGTAACACTTTCAGCAGATCAACTAGCTCAATCCAACAATCGGGACCACATTTCCTCGAGAATTTTTCGTATTCACAAGTTTTGTAGCACGAATACTGCTTCGAATAGACCAAAATTTAAGAGTGCGTACAGTGGGCTCAGCAGTGTTCGCATCCAAAGGGACATCCTCAACGCTATTTGCAAGTTTCTCCGACTCATCCGCAGGGGTAATAGTTACTGCTTGATCCACAACTGTGGCTCCCTGTCAATAGACATAAAACGTCAAAAAAAAAAAAAAAAAAAAAAAAAAAAAAAAAAGAAGAAGAAGAGAGAGCGGGAGACAGAGAGAGAGAAACAGAGCGAGAGAAAAGATTCAGGGTGCGAATTACACCCAAATAGGTTTTTAACGGCAACTCGAACTCTTCAATCCATTGGCTTGCTAGTAATTACTAAGTTCCTATTCGAGACATACGGAAAGTAGAAGAGCTGTTTCTAGAGCTTGAGCGTCCGTGAACGTGACAAAGGCAGTCTGCGACAGTGCACCATCCCTACCAACGCCACAGATACAGAAGAATTTATTAGAAAACCCGGAAGGAGGCGCCGCATCCAGAGTTCCACGTCAACTCGGGAGCCACGCCCTGAGACTTACGATCTCGCCAGGAGCAGGTACCCCACCCTTTCTAATGAAAATAGGACATCGGATTTTCTCTAGAAAATCTACAAATAGTGTAACCGAAAGTCGAGATTACCACCCAGGGGGGAAGAAAGGATGGAAAATAAATAAATAAATAAATAGATTGATGCCATCACAGGAATCATAGCACAGAGTAAGACTCTCACTTAATAAGCTTGATGTACTGAATCTCCCCTGAAAAGGAAAAGAAATCCTGAATGTCGTGCTCCGTAGCCTTCGGAGACACGTTACTCACTCGAACGGTATGAATCTCGTCATCCTGCATTCCCTCAAAACCCAGTTCATCATAACAATCTTCGATATCGTTGAAACCCTAAACCATAAACTACAGCCAAATGCCGAAAGCTGACCCAAAATAACGTACCGACATATCGTTAAGCTGCAAATCTTCGCAACGAAACTCTCCCTAGGGATCTCAAGACAATCACAAGAAGCTCAAAAATGAAGAACACGCAAGATTGAGCAGACGGGGCACAGAACTGCGAAACAGAGGAAAGAGGAGAGCGAGCGATGTGAGCTAAACACCAAGCAGGTTTAGCACGCGAGCCAATGCTTTGAATCCCTCGCTGGAACTTGGGCCCTTCCCCCGCGCTTCCCGTCACCGCCAGCTGATGCCCGCCACGAGCGTAGCGAACGCCATCCGTCCCCCAGCAAACGGATATGAGTTGCTGTCCTCTTTCCTCTGTGGTGGGCCTGGTGCTTCCAACCGACACTGTTCGTCGTCATGCTGCTCCATGTGCACAGTCCCCCTTCATGATTTCCTGTCCACACGATCACACAAATCGCTGCGTTGTGGATTTCTAAGCTCGTCGTGGTCTTTCCGGATCGAGCGTCATGAGTGCGAACACATGAAAGCTTTTTGACGCTTCAGTCACCGATAACCCACTTCGGACTGAGATTCATGGCTTCAAGGCCTGATGTTCGGTGACTCATTGTCGAGGTCGCCGTTCGTAGAAACTAGTTGAGAGAGGGCTCCAAGTAGAATGATTCACGCATCTCCAAAGTGAGACCCAACAACTTCACACACAACCCAGAAAAACAATGGCAAAAACTAAAATAAATTGCTTGGAGGGTTGTCGACCAGATGAACAATTTGCGACGAATTGCCGTTTGTGAAGAGGCAGGATACACACACAGCATTGAATTCTTCTTCATCGAAGTGTACTGCCTACACTCGGTGCTCGCTTCGGTGAGTCCCTCGAAATCACCGTTTTCAAACCTTAAAACACTACATACCCTTTCTCGCCATTTTTCATCTACGACCCTTTTCACACTTTAAAGTTTATGAAAGTGAATGTCTGCATTTATTGTTTGGTTTCTCTAGATACTACATACTATGTTATGCGTTTATCTTTTTCTTTGTAAATTAGAATCTTAAATTTCTTTTTTCAATTGAAGTTATTTTGTTTTTAAGAATACAATGTTGTAGTAAATTTTTTCAACATAGAGTTCTAAAATAAATATGTTGTAATAATAGTTCAAAATAATTCAAACGCAAGTATATGAACATATTCTAGAGTTAAGAAAAAGCATAAATTGTTTGATTAAAAATTTTAAGTGAATTTTAGTACAAAAATGTTAATATATATAGAGAATTGTAAAATCGACCTATCCATCCCAAATATCATTAAAACATTTTCCAATGTTCAATCCGCATTAGTCAAAAACCAACAAAAATGGTTGGATCCTCAACCAATGACGATAAGCTTGTCAATTTATATATTTGACTCTCTATTTGCTATATATATATATAGCAAGAGAGAAAGAGAGAGAGAAAGAGAGAGCATATTTTAAAACACCTTTGGTGAGAGAGAATTTTGAGAAGTTTATTTTATTTTATTTTGAACATATATAAAAGGTTAAAATCATTGTATATTGGATCAATACTTACTCTATACTTTTATAATTTTAAAGATTGGAGTAACTATTTTTTCAATATAAAAATTAATTTTTCTTTTTTAATAAAATCATGTATTTATATTCATTATTAAAGCACTATAACATGTACAATTAACAAATTAATTATAAATATCCTCTATTTTTCTTTCTTAAACACAATCAATATAAAATAACTTGAAAAAATAATAAAATACTAAAAAAGCCATAATAACATTGCATTAGCTTAAATTATTTGTAAAATATGTAGCACAAATTGTTTTATGGTCATATTTATAACGTTACTTATTGTTAGTAAATCATATAGAAAAATTTAAATTTAATTTGATTATTTTGTATGTAAATACATTTAAAAATGTTACTTGAGGTTTGAACTATTATGATATTTAAAATATCTATATATACTTAATTTTTGTTTTGTAAAACATATAAATATAGTTTCTTTATGTATTCAAAAATCAAATTTATAAGGTTATGAATACAATTAAATAATTAAAAACTAAAAAATTAAAATTTTGTATCATAATATATAAGTCTTATCTATATTTTATAATTTTATAAATAAATTAGTTTTAGTTTTAAAAAGATAAAATTGATTAGTGTTGAATCAAATTCTTGTATAATTAATTATTAATTTATAGATGAAATTCAATGACATTGTAATTCTTTATCAATTGGCTTCAATTTAATTTACAAATTTTGGGGATATGAAATACATATAACTTTTTTTCACTACATTAATGATAATCTAGATATATATATATATATATATATATATATATATATATTAGAAATATTTATATTAAAATTTATTTATCTTGTTAAAATGGATATTAATATTATGTTTTTATAAATATATACACACATATGCATACAAATATATTGATTTATTTTTCACTTATTGAAGTCAAAGTATTCTTTTCATGTTGACAAAGTTTTTCTTTTTTCTTTTTTAACATTGAGCTATAGAACTATTGATTTTTCATGCTTTAAAGTTAGATACCATGTGTCATAAATATAAAGATAAGAACCAAAATTCAAGATGTACTAGAGAAACATATAAATTGCTAGAAAATAAATGAGATTAGATATAAGACCACAAATAAGATAAATTTGCAATTCTATTTCGGTTTTACATAACAAGAATAAGATTTTCGTCATTTGTAGTTTCTTATTTTTAGCAGCTAAGTGTTCTTGAAGTTTGTGAAGAAAGTCCTAAGCATTGCAAAATACCTTAGAGGTCTAAAGAGCTTTTGAAGAAAATTTTAAGCCTATAAAGAATATTTCGGATATTTGTAGAAGATAATAGAAGATGATTAAAAACATCAAGAAGACTAATAAAAATATTAAATTTTTATTGAAGGTTCCAAAATAAGTTAGAAAATTTTATTGTCTATAAAAAAAAATACAAATTTATAATATATTTAAAAAGATTTAAATTTTCTAATGAGATTCTAAAAAGTGTTTAGAGTTGCATTGTATTTCATGTTGTGACAAAGACATCTTCCTTCAGCAATAAAATTTACAAAAGTTAATAACAAATACTTTATATTATCTTATAAGAGATTCTTTTATAGAATTTATGAAAAGAATGTAGAAGGTCTTGGATGGTTATACAAGATTGTTGAAGCTTTCTAAAAAACTATAGCATCTCTACTAAAACTTTTAGACAATTGTAGAAGGTTTCCAATATCAAAATTTATTTCTTTTGTTTTATATTTATATTTTTTATAATATATATAGTACACAATATTAATGTTTTTAGTACTAAAATCGTAAGTATAAAAATCAAAGTTTAAAATAAATGATATTTTTTAAAAACATAAATATTTTTATAGATTTTTTTCAATATTAAAAAATATATATTCTTATGGAAATAAATAAAAAATTAAAAATAATCTCCAAAATTGACATAAATATTAATATCTCTCAAAAAAATATTATTTTTATGGAATCAATGATATATGAGGATTTTTTCTTCTCATCTATTGTCTCTTGTATGTTGTTTCTAAGCTTGAAAGCAAAAAAAAATAAAGACCAAAATTTTCTATTTTTATATCTTTGCAGACTTTATAAATAAATAAAACACAAAAAATAATATATATGGTAGAAAGAGCAATTTGTATCCAAGGTATCTTGAGTTTAGTTCTAGTTGATAGGGCCAACATCATACTTAATTAAGAATCTAACTTAAGTTTAGAAGATATTTTTTGTGAAGTTTTTTCACCCTTAGCTTCTTTTTCTTTACCTTCTTTTTTTTATCCTTAGCCTCTCACTTTTGGGTTGGAATCTCAAAATTTAGACATACATATTTAAATTTTTGGTATTTTTTAACCATTTTATTTTTAAAAATTATAATTTTAAACTATTTTTAAAAATTAAACATTCATCTTTGATGAAGTATAAAATTAGAGATGACATTAATATTCTTTAATTTTTATGTATGGATAAAAATTTGTATTTTTATATACATAAGATCACTCAAACACAATTTTAATGTTTGAAATATTTAGAATCTAAAAACATACTAGAAATCACTTTTATACTGAGGTATCTTCCAACTATTTAAAATATTTATAAGACATCTTATTTATTATCTCAAATTCATTTATAATTTTAGTTTATCCAAATTTTGAATTGCAAATGTTTGGATGCAAATACATTTGTAATTGCTTTAAAATAATTTGATATATATATACATATATATATATATATATATATATATAATTTTTTGACACTTCATACTATAGTCAATGGTTGAATGGACAAAGGATTCTAGCAATATAATTAGTTGAAAGAAAATAATTAACTACTAGTCCATCATACAAGAGGCCAACAATCAATGGACGTTTTGGTTAAAAGTACTTACATAACAACATTCTATGGTAATTTTGGCACCAATGAGTGTTTTTGTCTCCTTGATTGATAAGGAATAGGACCAAACAAAAATAGACATCCAATTGTCAATCAAGGAGACAAGCTAAATTTTTTAAATATATATATATATATATATCATATTTTAATAACTTCAACATTGATTTATTGACCAATTTCAAGTAGAGTGGTTCAAAGTCCATTTAACAAAACAACCATAGTGTGAAGTGAGTCTAAAAACTATAAAGATCCAACCAATCATTTATAAATAAAAGGCAAATGGGCTACCAACCGGATACATAAAAATGTGAGTTGGACACTAAGATCCCTACTCCTACCAATCCACACCATAATACCTCACACTACAATCTACTACCCAATTCATTCTATATGTGTACTCAATCCAAAGAACCCTATGCTCTTCACCATTAGTCTTAGACTATTTATAGAGTTTGGACTTACAATTACATATGGTGTCGTATTACGTGAAGTCTTGCTTGAGAATGCACCGAGCACCTGGCTATGGAAGGTAAAAAAAAATTACAACAAAAAATCCTAACAATCCAATAGGATTATAGAGAATTTACAATTAAACATTAATAATCATAATCAAATATTAAGCAAGCTCAATTAAATTTTATTGAAGTTATAAAAGAAACGCAAGGAAATCCTAAAGAAATATAAAAGAATATTAAAGAAAACTTAGTCAAATCCTAACAAAAATCTAATAAAACCTTAAATTCTAACCAACCCCTAATCCTAATCCAACCTTAATTAAACCCTAAACAAACCCTAAACCCTAAATCAAATCCTAATCAAACCTTAATCAAATCCTAAACCTTAAATCAATTCCAAACCAAATACTAAATCAAACCCTAAATCCTAACCCAAACCCTAATCCAAATTCTAATCCAAATCCTAAATCCTAAATCAAATTCTAAACCAAATCCTAATCCAAATCCTAAACCTTAAATCAAATCCTAAACCAAATCCTAAATCCTAAATCTTAAACCATATCCTGACCCTAATAAATCCTAAACCCTAAACCAAATCCTAATCGAACCCTAATCCAAATCAAATCCTAATTATAGATTTGAAAATTAAATAAATAAAGATTTAATCATTGATTCTAATTCAAAATTTGTTCACTTCTTGAAGTTTAAGTTAGAAACCAGCACACAAATTTTAAAGAAAATCGCACTTACCAATAAGTTGATGACCTCAAAATTCCACTCAGATGTCGGTTGGTCTCTCCTTCTCCAATCTTGATGCCAACTTCCAGTGCCGATATCTCCCTTTTCCAATGTTCGATTGCTCCCAAATTTTACTTGCATATAGGAAATTTAGTT